GGACTGACGCTACCTTCTGAATTTACTCCTCCTCACTGGACAAGCAGTACCCATGAGACAAACACTTCTTTTCTACTTTGTTTTTTGGTTTGCTTTTTTTTAAAAAAAAAACCCAAACAAAAAAACAGGTTTCTTGGAACTTTCTCTTCTTAAGCTCTCTCAAAAGTCCACCAGCACATACCAGATGTAGAATAAAAGAAAGATGCTGTCAGTGGAGATGCACACTGGGATCCATCAGCAAAGACGACCTAGATACAAAAGCATTCAATTGTGAAGATCATGTGGCTACTGCTAAAATAATATCCTTTAATGCACAAAAATAAATTACTTTTAAATGTGTTTCCACGACAAAAGCAGCTACCTGGCATGCAGGTCAGTACTTGGAAATGCTGTGTCAAGGAACGGAGGCTGACTCCTTAATAGAAGTCAGCCACCGTTCCCCTGCCCGTAAGTCAGTAGGCTTTGAAGAAAGCATGCTGTAGATGTCATTTACCACTCTTTTATAAACATCCACCTCAAGATGCTTCACCCCAGCCTAGCGATGGATGCCCTACATCACCGTAGTACTACTTACAGAATTTATGACATAGGATCATGGTTACAGCTTCAGCCATTGCCAGCACTTGAATGTATGCACAGAATACAATCCTGTGTGTGCATATTCACCGTTAACGTCTATTCCTAAGAATGCATAATTAGCACCATGATACAGAAAAAGACTTCAGGCATTATAACTCACATTTCTTGTGCCTACTTTTAAAAAAAGAATAGTATTTTTTTACATGTGGAAAGGGGCTCTAATTTTTTGTTTTTCCAAGAGTGTACAGGACTAAAGCACCTGTTCAGAATATTTCATATTCCTCCTCATACTGCAATAATTTAATAATGATAACTGTTTCAAAACAAACAAACAAACAAACAAACAAACAAACAACAAAAAAAACCCTCACAATGAAAAAGGAACATATGCTGGCTTTAAAGACTAAGTTTAACGTGAAAATACTCCAGAGAGAAACAATGCCATAGAAAAATAGTGACTCAATGCCTGTATCCCAAAGTCTCTGAATGAAGATCACACATCTTTCTGTAAGTCATGCTGTGATTAAACCAACATCAGCAGAAGGGCAGCCATTCCATGCCATATTTTCCACTAGAGGTCAGGCTGAAGGAGCTAATGATCTATTTTAGCCTTCAAAATCTATGAGTGGGGGCTACTCATCAAGATTTGAAAGTTTGAAAATCAGTATTTATTTAATACTGATTTGCTTCACTTAAAGTGAATCATAAAGATGTATTTTTCTCAGTGTCCAACAGCTGGAGGTATTTAATCCTGATAGATCAATACAACCTTTGACAGAGCACCTGATGTGCCATCTCACTTAGCAGGACAAGGGTTGTATTGCAATGGAAAAGAGAAAAGTTCTTCCTAAACTTCAGCCTTGAAACAAACAACATGTTAATTTGACTAATAACAGACAACATTTTAGTTACTTTCAAAAGAGTATTTTTAAAGTTTTGCTTTTTATTTTTTTCTTTTAGAAAGGACAGATGTTAGAAGCATTTTCCACCAAAAATCGAGATTGAATTTGTTTCTGTAAGAAATTAGGAAGAGACATGACTAAGCATGGAGTAATGACCACAACAGGCTTCAGGTGAGTTGAAATTTTTCCAAAACCCCAAAGTGATTTGAATTAGGATCGTAAGCTTTTCTTTCCCTGTATTTTGGTGACTTAGGTCTAATTTCACTACTTTCAGAAACATTAACCCAACTTCTTGAAATAAATACCTTGAAGGCAGTGAACTACATTTGCTTCTAAAAATTCAGGGAAATGTTTAATGTATAATTTCTAGTTTTAAACACCTGCTTTGCTGTGACAGGATGTGAAGTCATGTTCAAATGGCAAGACCTAGCTCAGAGCTCTTTGCCAGTCACCGGCCTCATCAGTAACTCACTGACTACAGCATGTCTGTCTGCAACCATAAAAACCAGGAGAAATTAACTTTAATTTACCCACAGAGTCAAAAACTAAATTGCAGAATTGCTCACGTGTTCACACTTCTAAAAATGAAGCTGCCCATGAAATTCACTCAGAGATGAAATCAGCTAACTAGGTCAAGCTATGTCAGCTAGCACTTAAAAGTACCTCATGGTCAACTATTAGAGCTACTTCAAAGATACAAAAAGTACTTCGGAGAAGTAAAAGCATAAAATGTCAGGAAAAATTAGCAGAGAGAAGAGAACTCGTAGTTTCTCCAGACACCAAAGATTAGTGGTGGGAATAACAGGCATAAGGAAAAGAAATGAAGCCTAAGAGATGTTGGTTTGACCTCTTTTTATGTGTCTCCCATGGACTCGCCTTTTCTGTACTTTCACCAGGTCAAAAGCAGCTTACCTGCTGATAACAGCCGGTCATTTCATCAGAGTCACAGATTATTTCATTGAATGTTTTTATAACAGAACCTGGTAATCTCAGTCCAAAAGCCACACGTGCATGTTTTCAAAGGTGAAAATTCAGTTTAGCTCAGTAATATATTCAACTAATATACCCTTTTTCCTTTACTAGTTCTCCAACCTTTTAAAGTTTACAGCTGTATACCAACAGGTAGAGTATAATTCTCTAAGGCATGGCCCAGAGAAATGCAAGAGCCATTTGCCAAGGACCACTCCAGCACACTTCCACAGAGCTGGCAGTCAGAGGCTGAGTGAAGCTGGTAAAGCAGATTTCCCAGATTGAGCATGTACCTCACCCAGATGCACAGATGGTATTTGTGGGAGCAAAGGAAAATAAAATATAGGTTTAAAATAAATGCAAGAGAAACACAGAACAATATTGAACCACTCTTAGGTATTTCTAAAGGTTTCCGTTTATCTTTTCTACTTCTCAGCACATAGCGAGTGTATGTTCAGGGCTTCGATACCACTGAGCAAATGGAAGGAATTTAAAACTAGTTTTGCTTCACATGTAAGATCACAGAAATAAAGACAGGCTCCAGATATTTCTCTTCAGAATGAGATTTCTGTACAGAAGCTTGATGCAAAAGGAGTTAAAAATGCTGTTCCCGAGTATGCGTGGCAAGGACAACTAGACTTGTCAGGAGACCTTTTGGTGCTAAAGGAAAGGACTCGGGCTGCTGAATTTCAAATGGGCCACTCTGCATGGTGGCTACTTTCCCATTGTTTTAAACGGATAAAGACACACACAGCTGGAAAGAAGAGGGAAGCTACAAAGAAGTGAGGGAAATACAAGCTTTAGATGCTGGCATTACAGTATAAGGAGGCAGAGTAAGAATATAAAGAGAAGGACAAATCAATCTGAGTTGGCAAATTGGCTCTGACAATGATTAGTTTGGGCCTCAGCTCAAGGTCCCAGTATGGCCCTTTCTCCCTCCATCACTAGTCCTTCTCAAGCTAGGAGAAGCTGATGGCCAATCTTACCTTGTTACAACGATACCAAGTTAGCTGGTCTCAAGATCCCATGAAAAGCTAGCAGAGAAAGAAGGAATAGGAGGAAAACAGCACAGGTAGGAAGTGGTGGAGAAAGATGCAAGGAGAAGGAAGCACAAAAGCCCACGTTTCCTGTTGGGAGTCCCTGGTAACCCAGAGGTGTTGACATCTTGACTCTGCCACCTCAGGAACTGAAGCTCCACAATGTTATACTTTTAATCCTCCTCTCTCAAGCATCCTCCTTCTAGAGGATCCAGCTCTTCATTATTTCACTCTTCCGTTAGATTTAATTTCTGGTAAAACAATGTTAACTTCTTGACTTCAAGTCCCACCCTTCTCTTGGCTAGCAGACATGACTTAAACACCATCCTTGAACTGCAATAAAAATCTCCCGTCTTTAGATTAAAGCACTGTCTGCACCCTTTTTTACTCCTCTCTGGGCTCTCCCTCAGCAGCACTGCTTCTGGGGTAGGAAACTGAACAAAACGTGTTGTGCTCTGACTTCTGCCATTTGAAACTCATCAATGACCAGCAGCATACTGGATATAAAGTCTCTTCTGAGTACTTTTTTTTTTTTTCCTTGAAATCTCGTGCTATTATTTAAGCCACAGCTATAAAAATGAATAAACAAAATAAAAACCAGGAAGAGTCTTTAAAGAAACCATTTCGAACTGATACATCATAGGAAGATGTAAGCAAAGAGCAAAATTTTGTATCAAGAAATTTATGAAAGTATGACGTAAAACAATTCTACATCCACATCTGAATTGCTTGATACATACATTTGCAAGTGTCACTCATTTTATGCTGAATTTATTAAAAAAAAAATAATCTTCTACAAAGGGTCTACACTTTATCCAGTCACAAAACCTATGTCTGGAGTAAGCTGAACAAAAAGATTCACTTCAAATTTTCACCAGTGTCACTAAACAAAGAGTTTAGCCCAAATACTTTTTTATTTTGCTTTTGAATCTATTCAACTGAAAGAAACAGAGCTGCAACGGTTTGGGTTTTTTAATCCCAAAGTGGATTATACAAACAACAATTTCATCAAAGATTTTTTAGAACAAGCCTTGCATTACTGGTTATATCTTATTATTAAGATAAGCATTCTTCAAAGAACTGTACGATTGGAATCTCTTCCTGATACAAAGTGACATGCTATTTGCCGGCTGCAGCGAGAAGAGTCAAAATGAAAACAAAAATACAAACACACTTTTTTTTTCTCTCTTGTCTTTATTGATTTAGACTTCAGACCTACAGCCAAAAATAGTGCATCTGTAGAAAATTACCCCACGTGCTATCAATACAGCATCACTGCATGTTTAGAATCGTAAGCATTTGACAAATCGCAAAGGGAACATTCAATCTAGTACAGGGAGAAGGATATTTTTTTTTTTTCCTCCAAAAAGAAATATTTCTGAAGAGGAATGAAAAGCCTCTGTTAAAAAATGAATTCCAGTCACCACGGAAAACTCACGCTGCCTCATTCAAGACATCAACATACACTGCTGGCAACTTTACGTGGAATGGTAACACAGCAGCTACAACTCTGCTACAGGTACAACGCCGTCTTCAGCACTTTGTAGGCCATCGAAATGGTCACCGTGTACCCAACTGCCCAAGACAAACCTCTGCCGGGCTGGGGAAGGGGGATCAAGTAGGCAAAAGTGTGAAGAATCCGAGACCCAGCGAAGATCCTGAAATGCAGCAAGGCTGTGGACAGCTCAGGGCCACTGAGGGCGTACAGCAGTCCAATGCCAAAGAACGGGACAATATTTTCAAGGTCATTCAGGTGGCCTCTGGGGAAAGAAGCAAAGTTGGTTTACAGTGTTACATTTTGTTGAATAAACCACTCATTATTTTTCAGAATCTTCAGAGCATGCTACTGTTAATTCTTGTCTTCCTCTGCAGCAGGGATTTGATTCAGCTACCGAAATGATTTTGGCACGATCACCTGACATCGCTCTGGTCTCTCTTGCCACACCCCACATTTTGAAGCTACTGATCTTCTATATGAAAGGTTTTTCCCCAGGATCTTGGTAATATTAGGGACTTACATGAGGAATATGAGTACCCCTGGGTGTGCAAGAATGCAAGGAAAGGCAGGGAAGAAGACAGATAGTTGGAATTGTCTTGTAGCCTCTCTCAACTGAATGTCAATTAACTGGATGACTGTGACTGCAACTCCTAGACTTCACGGCCCAGATGGTCTATTCCAATCCCACAAACTCAGTTTGCAGTCTCCATAAAGAA